AACTAGAAACTTTAGAACAACTCGACAGAGCGAGCAAAGGCCGAACTGTACTGCTTGACGTTCAAGCAGAGAATGCCATGCACGAAGAAAACGATTTGGCAAGCGTATTTATTACCGCTGCATTTCTCCTCCCTTCCATTCATTGGTGAAATTGTGAGCGCAATGTGTCGTGTGTCCGATTTGCGCTCTATCGTTACGTCCGTGTTTGGGATTTTTCGTTACATGTCACTGATTTTTTTAATGTGACCCCCAGTATAGATATTAAAGACGTAGTCCTACATCAAAATGCACGAACGAGGGATGCTCCGGTTGCAAACCAATACCTGGGAATGTGCATGATAGAGGGTGCTAGTGTGCATGCAAAATACGCTTGACGATATTTTCCTTCTAAGAGTTATGTCTGTTTGTCTATGGTGTTGGTTTGTGAGGCGGCCTACGCTTTGTTAACAAATGCTGATGAGCCCTTTTTTATTGTTAATCCAGGTTTGAGATCGACGATCAAGTTGTGACTGGTCATGTATTAGGTATAACAAAATACACTACGAGGAGGAAGGGGGGTCTGAAATTGGTCAAAGATATGCTACGTCATTTATGAATGTTCCTGTAATACTCTGTTCACACAACCTACAGCGGAGATTCGCTATTTGGGGGAGGTATTTTCGCGTTTTTAACGTATTTAATCAATTCGCGGAGGTCTATTATCACCGTCTCGTTACTTCATCACTAAGTGCTTTTAATCTTCACTAAGTGACAAACAGTGACGCTCACAATCGCTCCAGTAACGTGACTCCGTCATCAAGTGACTCAAGTGACACTCATAGCATAGAGGTAACTCTAAGACCAGAAGGTCCCGAAGAAACGAGCTCAACTTTTTGGCTTAGCTCTGGTACTCTCTTCGGTCCCAAGCTAATCGATGCACCCCTCGAAACATAGGAAAATCCACTAACCCCTCATTTTATCTGTCAAACTTTCATAGCGAATCAAAACAAACATTGTGTAAGACTAGAATTTCGACTAGAATGGGGTACGTTAATCGATTTGCTTGGGAACAATAGGCTAGTCAAGTAGTGAGCCAATTTAAAATCGTTAGTTTCGTATTGATTTTTGCTCATAGGGCCTTATTACGGGTGTCACTACACGGTGATAATGAAGTGATACTCAGAATAAGAGCCGTGATTGCCGTACAAATCAAATGGGAATCACTTCACCGTGACGACAAGTGACAAGTTTCCACCGTGAAGTGACATCCATAATAAGCCCCATAATCGCTTCAGTGAAATGATCACCAGGTGATGTGCCGGTTATAATAGACCCCCAATATTATCACCGTCACTTCACCTGGTGATCACTTCACTGGAGCGATTATGAGCGTCACTTGAGTCACTTTTTGTCACTTGGTGACGGAGTCACGTCACCGGAGCGATTGATTAAATAGAATTTAAAAAACTAAGTTAAATACTATCTACTAAAGGGTGTCGACGATGAAATTGCCACACTATGAAATTGCTCTAACTTTTTAACCGTTGGGTAGAATTTAATGAAAATTTGGGTGGATTTAGTTCATAGTGCATTATTTACATCCTGCAAGTTTTAAAGTCCTGTGATCAAAACTCGCGGAAATGGAGTCGAAAGAACAGCTCGTGCGTGATAAAATCTTGCGCATTCATCACGAGAACAAGGATCTCTCGCATCGTTCCATCGCTAAAACGTTGGGAATCGCGAATTCCACGGTGTCGCGAGTGATTAAGCGGTTCGAGGAACGGTTGACCACCGATCGGAAGCCCAGAAGTGAAGGAAAAAGTATTCCGTACAACACCAAAAATCACAACCGCGTAGTTGGGGCCTTCAACCGAAATCCGAACGCCTCCGTTAGGGATGTGGCTAAGAAGCTGCACCTAAGCCGAAGTTTTGTCCAGAAGGCCAAAACTAAGGCTGGGCTTCGAACGTTCAAGGTACAACAGGCCCCTAATCGCGACGAGAAGCAGAACAAGTCCGCCAGGAAGTTGTACCTCAACATGCTGACGAAAGTTGAATGCTGCATCATGGACGACGAAACATATGTGAAGGCCGACTTCAAACAGATCCCCGGCAACTTGTTTTTCACGGCCAAGGATAAGTTCAGCGTTCCGGAGCATGTCCGCACTCAGAAGATGTCCAAATTTGCGAAGAAATTCCTGGTTTGGCAAGCCATCTGCACGTGCGGGAAGCGGAGTGCACCTTTCGTGACCCAGGACACGATGAACGGACAGGTGTACATAAAAGAGTGCCTCCAGAAGCGGCTGCTTCCTCTCCTGAAGGCCCACAACGTCCCAACAATCTTCTGGCCGGATTTGGCCTCATGCCACTACTCCAAGGACGTGCTGAAGTGGTATGCGGACAATAAGGTCAATTTCGTGCCGAAAATGTTCAACCCTCCCAACACTCCGGAGCTCCGCCCCATCGAGAAGTACTGGGCGATTATGAAGCAGCACCTTCTTAAACGACCTAAGGAACTGAAGAAAGTATGGGTTTACATGCAAAAAACGGTTGATTCACAGGTTGTGCAGAATCTTATGGCCGGGGTTAAGGCCAAGGTGCGGGCATTTGCGTATGGACTGTAAATAAAATACGAGTAAAATGGTAAAATGAAGTTTAATAGTTATTTCTCAATCCCTGAAAATTTGATGGCAATCGGATGAAAACTCGAATTTTGCGAATCAATTTTGTGTGTGGCAATTTCATCGTGGACACCTTTTAAAGGAGCCACCTCAAAATTTAAATTGAACCGATATGTGATTATAGAATCTCAGCCAGATTAACTTTTCTCCCCAAATTATTCAACCTACTCTTGATTAGTTTCAAAGACCAGGGCTGATTCCACTCACCCGCCATAAAAAAAAATGTTTTTCGGAATTATGAAATCACTAGAACCGAAAACGGTAATCAGTACTAGAAAGCCACAAGAACAGTCTGCAAACAACGTGCCCGACACACAAAACCCGTCACCATCTCGTCCAGCGCGTCACAATCAGCGATTCTACGACTCGTGAGCGCTCAGTGAACGCTCGCCGACTGCAACGTACCGAAAGCGGAACTGAGTCAAACACGTACCTCCCAACCTACTCCTGTATCTGACAAGCACAAAATACCACTATAGCATCCAATGATTCCACAAACCCGAAAAACACCCTTCACAGCGAAGTGAGTGGAAGCAACCCTGTCGAAGAGTATATTTCCCTTTCAACACTAAATCAAACTATATGAGTCAACATAAGATAGTAGTGAAACCCAACCCCAGTAGAGATTTTCACGTCCGGTTGTATTGGTGCGATATGTGAGAATGTGTTAGTGAATATCTGAGGGAAATACACACCCCCCGAGCATCTAGACAGAAAACCTTAGTTTCACGTACCCACTTGCAAATTGTAGATGTCTCCACCGTACGTAAACAATGGGGTCAGCCATCGTTGGTGGCACAACTTTTTTCACATCAGAAAACATGTTTTTGTTTCACTTCATGTGGACGTCGAAAGCAAACCAAGAATAAATTTTGAGTGAGACGTATTACTGGTGTTGTATTGTATCTTGGAATTCAATCGATTTAATTATATCAAAATTCATCATCATCGCTTTCGTGTGTGTGTGTGTGAGAGATAAAGAGAGAGAGAGAGAGAGAGAGAGATAGATAGGGAGAGAGAGAGAAAGAGAAAGAGAAAGCACCACCCTAATACAAATGTTCCAAACACGAACCATAACCCAAATGGTTTAACCATATGACACATAGTTCGGAACCTGCACAGGTTTTTAAGCACTTTTTATGGTTATTTCCTATATGGGCACTGGGCAGTAACCCGATTAAAGGGTTTCGTTTATTTCGGTTATGTGGTTGCCGACAAACATCACTTAGTTCCCGGATTTTAGGGTCTTGTTCCGTCCATATATCCGGAACCAGTTAATCGATTGAAAGTCTATTAATTAACATTCTATAGAATCATGGTAGCTTTCATTTGGTTGTTGTTGCGTTCAATTCGGTAGAGTGGTTGCCGAGAAATACATATAAGAAAATTGTCCTACGCGCTCTCTCACACACATAAATAGACAGACATTTTCCGATCCCGTCATGCTGAGTCGATTGGAAGACTATTAGAAAAAAATATCAATGTTTTTATAAAAAGTTAAAAAAAAAACAAAAAACTTAAAAACGGGGAAAAAAAAGTTGATAAAAAAATTAGACCAATTGTAAATTTACTCCACCATTATTCGATTTGACAGAACCAGAGTACCAGAATTTTCGGGGTACATTAGCATTACACTGGAGCTGTTCAGTTGCTCCCGGGGTGGAAATACATTACAAATCGATGTCAAACTCATTTTGACAGTACTTTCATACATTTTTAGGTTAGCCAGAGGAAAATAATAAACGGCGTTGCTCCCAAGGGGGGGGAGAGGTGGCTGTCAAATACGAACAATCGTCGCCTACCTCGCATAACTGGTTCCAAACGTAAACAAGCCATAAGAAACCTACAGGGTTTGTTTACGTTTGGAACCAGTTTCATACAAGATGATCAGTAGGCTGATTTGACAGCACGTCCTCCCCCCTCCCAGGTTGCTCCCGCTAGTGTGCGTGCGTTGAACGTCACTAATCTCTATATTTACCGGTGTGATACTGTCACTAGCGGCTCTGGTTCTCTCAAGCCGCTCAAGCCAGACGGCACACTGCCACGACATGAGCTAGACATGCCGGCTATAAACCCACCATCTCCAACGCTCCAATATGACATGAGATTAAGCCCTCCCACCAACGTCAAGGTGCAAAAACCAAGCCATGGGGAGGGGATTTGATTGAATCATCAATTGAAGATTATCTAAAAAGGTTTAAAATCACCGCCATTCAAAATCAGCTGTGAAGAAACTTTTCACATTTTGCGTAGTTAACCCAACAAGAACAGCATTGACGGATTAAAAACATCATTCACAGCTAATCCAACCAATTATTCTCTTATCTTGTAACCCTTGCGCAGCTATAACCGTCCGAGCGTAGGCACGGCTTCCAGCGAGAGAGGGCACCCACCAAGCTATGGCCAGACGCTATGCTTGAACGTGTCCGAATCGGTGGTTTCAGTGGAACGTACAAAGTAAGAAGTGCCGAGCTGGCGCGCGACAAGAAATCCCAAACCAAAGCGGTGACCGTCCTTTTCCTCGATGAAACAACCCACACGTTCCAGCTAGAGAAGAAGGCCAAGGGATCGGATCTGCTCGAGCTGGTCTTTCAGCACCTGGAGCTCTCCGAGCGGGACTACTTTGGACTGCAGTTTCAGCCGAAATGTGCCGCCACCAGCAGCAGCAGCAGCAGCAGCAGCAACAACAACAAGGGGGACAAGAATGGATCCAGTGGCACCGGCGGAGGTAGCGAAGGGGGAGCCAACTCGATCGAGTCCGGTCGATGGCTCGATCCGAACAAACCATTTCGGAAGCAATGGAACGCGGTGCGCCTCTCGGGGGACCTCAGTCCGGTGCTTATCTTTCGAGTGAAGTTTTACATTACCGATCCGAGCCGACTGTGCGAAGAGTATACGAGATATCAGTTTTATCTACAGATAAGACGGGATATATTTCAAGGAAAACTTCTGGTGGCACTGAACACCGCCTGTCTGCTCGCTAGTTATACAGTGCAGTGTAAGTTTCGTGATTGCATTGGAGGGATTTCGATTACGTGTAACGATGATTGCAATTACAGCTGAACTGGGCGATTACAACCCACTGGAACACACTCATGGTTATCTCAGTGATATGCAGCTGCTGCCGGAGCAAAACGAAGAGACAGAACATCGAATATCGGAACTGCACAAGCTTCATCGGGGGCAGCTACCCGCGGATGCCGAGTACAACTATTTAGAACATGCCAAACGGTTGGATATGTTCGGTATAGACTTTCACAAGGCAACGGTTAGTACAGGCATCGCTCCGGGTTGCTTGGAAATGTGAGAAACTGATTTCGATCGATATTTTCTAGGACTCGGCCGGAAAAGATCTGAAGCTCGGTGTCTCCTCCATAGGTTTACTAGTCTACCAAAACGGTATTCGCATCAACACCTTCTCCTGGTCCAAAATGGTGAAGGTGTCGTTCAAACGGAAAGATTTCTTCATTCAGCTTCGACGGGAACTGGTGAGTTAGATTCGCTTTTAAGATAGGTACCTAAATCTGTTCACATCACTAACTGTACTGTTGTTACTCGTTTTAGTCCGAGAGCTACGACACACTGCTGGGCTTCAACATGGGCGCTCATCGCAATGCAAAATCACTCTGGAAAGCGTGTGTAGAACATCACTCGTTTTTCCGACTGCAGAGACCGCACCGCTCACCACGATTCCTGCCATTAACCCTAGGTTCTAAGTAGGTCTCACCGTCGGGATTCGTTTTTAGAAAATTTACTAAAATTCTGTTCCCCGCAGGTTCCACTATTCCGGCCGTACCGAACTACAAGCCGTCCAGGAAAGCCGGCACCGTAGCAAGGTGGCAAAAATCTTCATCCGTTCACCCAGTAAACGTCTGCTGACCGGTTCTCAACCCCAGTCACCACTACTGAATGGTTCCGGCAATGAGAGCACCAACGGAACCGCCGCCAACAAAAATCAACTGTCGCTGCTGTCGTTGACCAAGGCCACTCGGACGTACGATAAGGTCACATCCAAGACTCCGTCGATTCCGAGGAAGGCTTGGGAGCCACAGGCTGATGAGTAAGTATCCGATTGGACCATAGAAAACTTCCAGTTTAACCACCTTCCCCCTTACAGTCCTACTTTCATCGAACACTGCGCCCGGACGTACGATGCGCAGATTCCGACCATGTTCGATTCCCCGCCGGCGTACAACGGCATCAACAATCCGGAAAACAGTGTACCCAAGGAGGAAGGTCTCGTCACGATACGGTTGGTGGCCGACGAACAGGGTCGCTTCGGTTTCAATGTTAAAGGCGGTGTGGATCTGAACCTTCCGGTGCAGGTGTCCCGAGTGGCTCCGCATACGCCGGCCGACAAGAGCACTCCCCGGATCTGCGAAGGTGACCAGCTGGTGATGATCAACGGGCGCGACGTGGGCACCATGATGCACGAACAGGTTGTGAATTTGATCCGTGCCTCACGGCAGGGCGGCGAACTAATGCTGACGCTGAAACCGAACGCCTTAGTCGACTATACGGAGGAGGAACCACTGTATCAGTACGTTCCGGAGGAGAATGACATCGTGCGGGGCGAACTGAACGGCGATCAGTTGTTTACGCAGTCGTTGCTGCTGCTGAGCGACGGGCTGGCGTCCGGTTCGCTGCTGGCACAGTATGAGCAGATGTACAGGAAGAATGCCGATCTGGCAATCACCGAGGCCAGGAAGAACGACAATCTGAACAAGAACCGCTACAGGGATATTTCGCCTTGTAAGTACCTATATGTTGTCGGTGGGACACGCGCACATGTATCAGTGTGTGGTGCTATGACCACTCGTTGAACTTTACTATTTACGTCGGATTTCCAGAGAAATAGCATGAAATTAAAATTTGGGGAAGGAGACGAAATCTTCACAAGAATTCATCAGATATGGTCATTGGGGTTAGAACATATTAGTGTTTAACTCTCTCATTCCCATGGTAGCAATGTACTATTAAATCATCAGTGCTTATTTAAGCTTCTCCGTGTGCTCATTCAGGGCGTCGGCTCAGTGAAGAAATTTAAATTCCATGATATTCCAGTCGTTTTCAGAAAAAAATCCAGGTTATGAAAACCATCTAACTTTTCAAAAATCTCCAATTTTAAACATGGTTCAAGCACTAACCAGCATGTTACTGTAATTGATAGCGATGGGTTAAGGTACCTGCAAGCATTTTGATTTCGGTCAGCTTGCTATCTTCATAATATCTCCAAAATGAAACCTGCTTTGGCTTATAGGCCTAGTCATGGCATGACCAACGCATTCAACATACTTGAACAGTACAATTAGCTATAACTGATTGACCACCATTTCCAGACGATTGCACCCGCGTGGTCCTGCTGAATGCGGAAAGCGGTGACTACATCAATGCCAACTACGTCAACATGGAAATTCCCCCGACGGCGATCATCAACCGTTACATCGCCACCCAGGGGCCCCTGTCGACCACGGTGAACGACTTTTGGCGGATGGTGCAGCAGGAGAGCAGCCATTTGGTGGTGATGCTGACTACCGTCATGGAGCGAGGCCGTCCCAAGTGTCACCAGTATTGGCCTTCCGCAGACGAAGAACCGCTGCCCCTTTCGGCAGGATTTTCCATCAAATGTCTCCACGAGAAACCGGACGAAACGGGAAGCTTCGTGTTTCGGGATCTGGTGCTCACGGACGAGAAGACGAATGAAACGAGAACCATCCAGCATATGCAGTATCTGGCCTGGCCAGACCATGGCGTACCGGCCGATCCGGAGTTGTTCCTTCAGTTTACAGAGAAGGTACGTGCCGCGCGGAATACTACTCTGCTGCAGGAGATCGAAGCCAGTTTGAAAAATGTCAAATTGCGGACAATGGATGATAATGGAGGTTTGGATTCGTCGGAGCGACGCGTTGTGCACACGGATAGCGATGAAAGTCCAAACGACATGCCCTCCTCCACTTCGGTGCATCAGTAGGTTTTGCCGGACATGCAAGCGAATCAAATTGGGTCCTGAAGTCAATTTTCCGTTTCAGATACATAAGTGCCGCTAATCCACCCATCATCGTTCACTGCTCTGCTGGCATTGGCCGAACGGGGGTTCTGATCCTGATGGATACAGCGCTTGCGTTGATGGAAGCCAAGGAACCCGTCTATCCGCTGGACATTGTACAGGCGATGCGTGATCAACGGGCTTGTATGGTGCAAAACGTGGTAGGTATCAACACATATTCACATTCAATCGTATAACAGATGTCTTCAATAACCGCCGTCCGTCCCTTGCAGAGCCAGTATCGCTTCGTGTGCGAATGCATCTGTGCAGCGTACAGGATGATGGTAACCAAAGAGATAGCGGAAGCCAGAACCACTCCTCCCCCGCCGACAGTGCTCAAAACAATCTCATCCATCAACGGTACTGCACCGTTGGTTTCCTCCAGTGACGATGATTCCAGCTCTCCGCTGGAGGACGTCCCTCCAACATCGCCGGAGCGCAAGGCTCCTCTGGCGGTGGAAACTACAAGCCTTACCACCACTACCACTACCCCCACGACCAACAACGTTACACCCACCAACGGCAACGAAGGTCCTGGTGCTACTGCCATCAACGGGAAAGCCGCAGACACCTGACGAATAGAAACGATTGTCTAGGTTCCTTGTTTGTTTTTTTTCTTCATTCGGACAATTTTATTCTCATCGTCGGTCTTATATTTAAGTTTCATTATTGTTTATCCCTTAATATCATCCCCCTCACCTGAGATATACGAAAGTAAGCAGCTATTAACACACCTACAAACATATTTATCAAACGTAATATACCTAGTTTCTCATCAGCAGTGCTTGTGGCCACGCGGGTCACTCCCACACGCAAATGTATCGCATATTATTAGTGGTTAGGTATCAACGTACATTTTACTACAACTCAATATATCATTTAATCTGTGCTATTAATGTATCAACAACCGTATGTTTCTCTCTCTCTCTCCATAGTAGACTGTAAACAGCGAAGAGAACTTAGTTATACAGATTTGTCTAAACGTTCTTCCCCCAACCATCCATCCCATCCGTTTGTGGTGTCAATTCCTGAAAGTACACGTTCTGTCCATGTTTTCTCACGAACGATTTTTCGATCTAGATTTGAATACGAAATAAAATAAAAACTGTTTGAATAATAAATACCTACCCTGCCTTGTTGAATGTCAGAGAAACACTTTTATCCAGAATTATGAATAATCTTCAACTGAAGGGAACTACAATTACAGTACCCGTTCGATTTTGGCACGATTGGATTTTCGATTGGTTTCCAAAATCGAACGGGTTCTGTACAGACAATTAAGGGCCGTCGGATGTTTTAGAACCAATTTATCACGTCTATCTGTTCATATTATTAAAATGTATGGCATAGTGCTGCCTACATCTTACCTCTAATATCACATTTAGAAAAAAAACAAGGTTTAATCCTTACATAAATCCCGTCAAAACTAGTTTAACTACCAAGAGCGCTTTCCCCGTATGTCAACGGTACCATCGTTGCAATGCTATTAATCAGCGAATCATACCCATGCTGCTGATGCCCATTTGATCCCCCAGTAGTGACGATAGCCCCGGCTGCATTACCCACATCTGTCTCAATCATTTGTACATCATCCTGCTGTCCCACAGTCGGTTGTAATGGCGCAACCGCTGGCGGTTGTTGATAATGATGACCACTATTATCCACGGGGCCAGCGTTCCCATAGACATAGAAATTATCCACTTTGGAAAGGTTGTGGGCAAACCCAGCCGGCCGTATGAGTGGAAATTGTTGATCGTGCTGCTCGTTGACGGTTGGCGGAATCAACGAAAATGCATCCACCGGAGGTTCCGAAGAGTCCTTCTCCACAATGACCACATCGGAGTTGACGCTTTCGCAGAGACGTTCCGGATCTTCTTCAGTCGCCTGCTCGGCTGATTCAGTCGTCGCCCTGCTGGGATCCGGTTCCTCTTGGATGGGATTTGCAATACCCAGTTTATGCTTAGCCCGATGAAGTTGATATTTCACCTCGCTGATGGACACGAAAGCACAGTCCGAACATTTGTACAGCAGATTGGGAGCCACATCGGCGTGCATACGTTCCAGATGTTTCCGATAGGTTGTGCTCTGAATACTGGTGTAATCACAGTAGGAACACCGATACATGTGCGCTTCCGAGTTGTGCCTCATTTTATGCCTCCGCATGGAGTTGTGATCGTTACAGGAGAAATCACAGCTGGAGCATTTGAATCTCTTCTCGTCGGAATGCTTGGCCACGTGCGACTGCAGTAGATATCTGGTTTTAAAGACCATTCCACATATCGAACATTTCATGCGACCCTCAACCAAAGAGCCATCCGGGACGTGTCTACATTCGACGTGCGTCTTAAGGAACTTTTGGTTCGGGAACACCAATCCACATTTCACGCACTTTACTGGTAGAATGGACTGATGCCGGACACTTCGAACCTCCGTCTCCTGCGGTTGACTTTCCTTCGGCAGTTGAATCTGGTGAAGGTCCCGATGCGATCGCCGGTGGTTCCTCAGTTGTTTGTTATTCTTGAAGGCTTTATTGCAGATGGCACAGATGAAGTTCTTCTCGTCCGAGTGTATCTTCATGTGGGTGTTGTTCAGTCTACAGAGGACAGGGGTTTTGAAATTGCACAGGTGGCAGGAATAGAGCTCCATGTCAATCGAGTGTTCCCGCCAGAGATGCGTGTGAAGCGTGTTCCAATTGCGAAATTCCTGCGAGCCGCACTCCGGGCACCGATTGCCTTCCGTAGTCGTACCGTCAGAGGATGGGAGGTGGCATTTTTTGTGATAGGTTAGCGTGTCCGGTTGCCGGAAGCGAGCACCACAGTCGCCTTGGTCGCACTTGTAGCCTTCCTCCATTGGGGTGAGGTTGGTGTAGAGTTTCTTGAGCTTGGTAATACCGGTTTGCCTGGCTCCCTTCGGGCGACCTCTGCTGCGGGCGCGTTCCTTGTCCATCGCCGACGACGTTTGAGCCAGCTGGTATTCGGTGGGATGACTAGTAGGTAAGATGATTTTGATTTGCTCTATTTGATTGAGTGGAGAGTTCGTTGAGTCATGCACTGGAAGCGCCAGGGGAGGCGGTGGCAGAGGAGTAGGTGCATTGGGTTCCATCAAATTGTCCGAAACGTAGATGCGACCTTGCTGCAATTGTGGTGGCTGATAAGCTTGCGGTGGTTGTGGCGGGGGCGGTTCTGGCGGAGGGGATGGCTGGATTGATGGAGGTTCGGACGATGCTGACTCTTGTGGAACCGGAGGATCAAGGTTGATAATCTCTTCAGCACAAACGAAAAGAATGTCTTCGTCCGTATGATGGTACTGCTGCGATTCGGGGGGATTTGGCGGCGGTTGTGGCAACTGCTGATGGTTCATCAGTTCATTTGTATGTGGTGGGATCCTGTGGGAAGAATTGTTTAAATCATATTTGAAGAAAAACCTGTCAAATCAACTCACCGCAAATGATCTGGGGCTTCCTCGTACGTGACGTTTTCCGAAGAATTACCCGGTTCGATTATGATAAAATCGTTATTGAACTCCTGTTGGTAAGGTCCCTGCTCCGTAACGCTACCACAAGCCGAGTCGCATCCCTGCATCTCCTGATACTGATTACCCTCGACATGAAAATCATCCAGATCGGATGGCACCTCGTCCAGTATGTTACCGAAATTGTCCTCCTCCTCCTCCTCCATCGATTGCTGTCCGCCGTTTCCACTCAGATCACTACCCTCCATGCTTTGGGAGCTGTTCGTTGGCGGTAGCAAATTCTGCAACTGTAGCTGATCGATGGTCATCAAATTAAGCTCATCAACGGACTTTAGGTGGATTGTCGGTTGCTTGAGAACGCTGATGTTCTTGATGAATATCTTACTCTTTCTCGTGGCCGGATGCTGTGACTGAACCGATCCGAAATTGGCAACCGTCAACGACGGAGGTGTGGAAATAGTCGGCGGAGTCGAAGAGTTGCTACTGCAGGTTGGCGTCGGAAGAATTACCATATTGAGTCCGGAGAATCCCATCGACGATGGCGTACCGATACTGGACACCGAGGTGGCAGGACTGACCATCGTCGGCGGTGGAGTTGTGTACATACTTTCGCTGCTACTTGCACGACTCATTTCGCATGTGGAAGTAATCGTTGGTGGCGTAATTGGAATCATAGGATTCCTTAGAATGTCCACATTGCGGATAAATATCTTGCTGGGCTGGGGAGTTCCATTCACCGCAGACTCTCCTATGCTGATGGGGGGCGATTGACTGTTGGGGCTCGGCGCAGGAACCACAAAACTGTATTTGCTCTCGTGCAACCCGGAAGGGTTCTGAAAAACGTTGTCCACATTCTGTACGTAGTTTGCATTCTGCAGCAAGGAAACATTACGAATATAGATCTTCCCATTTTGCTGTTGGAGTTGATGCTGTGCTGTTTGCTGCTGCTGATGCTGCTGTTGAGCTTGATGAACATTTTCCTGCTCGATGACATCGGGTTTCTTGAGAAGCTGTACATTCTTGATGTAAATTCGTCTTCGGTTCTGCTCTGGAGCAACCTTTCAAACAAACGAAAACTCAATCAAAATGCTTACCCTAAGACTCATAACTCTTACCGTTGGTTGCGACTCGGACACCGGAGCCACATTAGCATCTTGAATAGAATCTTCACATCCCGTCGATTCTCTGGGTTCCTGCACCCGCGGAAACCTGCGGTCCATGAACAGTGTTACCTCCGACTGCACCATCATGTGATCACTCCCCAGATGCAGTTCCAGCAAATTTCTCTGCCGAAACTTATTCTCACACGCCGGGCAGTTCAGAAACTCGACGGCTTCCCGTTCCCTGTTCGGATGCTTGGTACGCACGTGATCTCTCAGGCTTTGCTCCACCAGCGTAACAAACGGACAAAATTCGCAGCAGTGCACTCTCAGCTCTTCCTCCCGCCGCTCCTGACGGTCCTCTTCCAGGTAGCTCTCGGAAATGCTTGGCAACTGAACCATGGCGGTTCCCTTCTCCAGCGCACGCAAATCTCCCAATTCCCGCTTGATCGGTTCGGATTTGTCCTCGCATTTAATTTCCTCCGAATTATTCCGGGACTGGCTTTGCTGCTGATACTGCTGGTTGATTTGCATCGGCACCTTGACAAATATGCTCGGCAGAAGGACATCGTTCGGTCCGGATGAGGTCACTCCGGTTGAGGTGCAGCTGATTGAGGGCAGAGTGATGATGCTGCTGCTGCCGTTTACCACTGTACTCGACGGAATTGTGACAAAGTACGGTGAAGAGTTGAAATTTAAATGGGTTGGTGATTCGGTGCTCTGCAGCGGTGAATTGAGAGGGTTTGCAGCCAGCTGAGGATAAATCGGGTCAGATTTTAAATAAATCGAAAGATAATTAACAATTGCCGTACCATCGAATCGAAGCCAAGGCTCTCCGAGCAGTGATTCTGGAAAATGTCCATTTCGCTTGAAAGTTCAAGTTTTAAGCGTAATTTTCAACCGATCCGGATAGCTTTCATGGTGCGAATGTGGGTAATCATTGTTTTTTACACGAACTTTTCAATTTTTGCACAAATTTCACTTATTTTCAGTGTAAAAAGTGGAAAAAGTACACTTTGTTTACCTTTCGGAAGGGCGAGGACGATGTATCGCAAAAAGGGCTGCAATGGTTTGACAGTTTCATCAGCTGTTTGTTGTCGATGAGTGTGTTGGTGGGAGATCTTATGCGTGTTTTCCATTTTCCCCAAGAGCATTTTCCCACAAATGCGTCTGTGTTGAGTATGGTGATCAACTGTGGTACCGCTGTCAGAAAGGGGGTGACAACAGCGGTGCCAGATATATGGATATGTCTGTATTTATACAGATTTGTGAAGTCTCGTACAGACCGAGGGGCACGCAATACAAAGAACCGGCGCGTTGAAGTTAAAATGCAATCAAAAGTACTTAAAGTAATTAATGCGTTTTGAAGTAGTACTGACAGTAATTAAAATTATCTATCCTTAATTATTGTAATTTAAAGTATTGAAAATGTAATTAATGGAGTTAAAAAGTAGTTAATGTTCTACATTGTGTAATTAATTTAATTAAAGCAATAGTTAATAAGAGATGAACTAGCCTCAGGCTAAAAATCTCTAAAATAAAGATTTAAAAAAAAAAAAAAGCAATAGTTAATGGAATTAATTTAATTACAGCCGTTGCCTGCGTTGGAGTTAAAGGTTATTGCGTGCTCCTAGGTAGAGACCCAATACAGAACAGACATTATACAGATATTTGAAACTTAATACAGATTTAATGATTTAATGATAATGATGAAAATGCTGAGGTTTTGACAGAACTGTGCTGTGGCTAAAATAGTATTTTACATTTGATCGTCCATATACTGTAGCGCCAAAAGCATGCTGTGGTGGGTTCAAAACTTGACCATCTAAAATGATCAATTGGTTCCTGAAACTTAACATAAAATATACAAAATTATTTTCGAGTGTGGGCATCTTGTTATGATTATGGTACGTTTCTAAGCACCTGGCAGATTTTGTTTGACTGATTACGGACCTGACCTTTTTGACGTTTAATAGTCTTATCTTTTCTAGCACATCTCGTAATTTAAAACAGCATAATGCTTTTTAAATTTTGACTTCGTTGGGGAAATGGCTCTAATGTTGGCCTATGGATCTAAGATTGGGCCCATCGCAAAAAATCTGCTATTTATCAATTCTATCTAGATGAACGCATCATTGGGACGGTACTAATGAATATTTTTGGACGCTATTGAAAATTTAGTCGATTGCTGAATTTATGTACGGGCCCAAATAAGGAGCATTTAGGCCAATTTCCCCTATACTGCTAAAAATAAAATTTGAAAAAATAAAACACAAAAACGCACTTTTTAATTTCAAAAATGCTTATTTATTCCGAGATTTATTCAATTGAGTGTGTGGCGAGCAGTTTTATAGATAAAATACATGTGGGAAATACGTAATCAGCAATACGGCGATATTTTCTAGTGTACAAACAAATACAGACATATGTTTTGCCACTCATACAGACATTTGAAAAAATCATCTGGCATCCCTGCGAGTGGACATTTCATTCTTTGCTCGACTGTTGAGCTGTTCAGTCCGTATTTTCGCTCGAGTTCTCGTTTCGATTTTGTCTTGTTTTGTGCTATTGCGTTGCGCCGTGGAAGTGTCACCACCTTCACCCCTTCTGGCAAGTTTACTTGAACTTGCAAACACGAAACAAATGGTGCATAAACGTGCCAATGAGACAGCACCGGGCCCTTCAAAGAAGATGCCAATCAAGCCCAGCGCGTCGCAGGATCACGCCGGAAAACGAGTTCTGCAAGCTAACCCGTATGCAGTACTCCCGGAAGAAAATGGCGATGGTGACGCCGTTCCCATTGCTAGAAGAGAGCGGATTTCCCCGCTTTTCACGCCGGTGAAGGATGTTGCCAAGCTGGGTGCCGAACTGGCAAAACACAAGCTGCTGCCTCGCTTCAAGCTTTGCAGCATCGGTACCAAAATCATGTGCTCCAATCTGGAGGAGTACAAACAAATAGGATGTTCCCTGAAGAACAACAACGTGGACTTCTTTACGCATGATCTGCCATCGAGAAAGCCACTGTAGGTGGTTTTGCGTGGATTACCGTCATTCGAAGCGGCTGCGGTGAAATCCGAGCTGGAGTGGCTTGGGCTCAAGCGAGGGGCAAATCATTATTTGGTGTGCTGAATCGAAAATACATTTTCTTAAAAAAAATACTTAAAAATCTATTAATACTCGAAAAGTTACCAATGCATCGTGAAATGCACATATTACATTAATACACATGAAATGCATTAAAATGCAGCATACAATTTCAATTATATTTAAATGCACAAAAATACCTTATTTCAGGCAAATACGCCACTAATACGTCAATGCATCAATAAATCAGTAATGCTTTTGTAATACGTCAGTTGAGACTTCAATACATGCCAATACCATAGAGGTAACTCTAAGACTAGAAGGTCCTGAAGAAACGTGCTCAACTTTTTGGCTCAGCTCTGGTACTATCTTAGGTCCCAAGCTAATCGATGCACCCCTCGAAACATAGTTTCCATGAACCCCTCATTTTATCTGTCAAACTTTCATAGCGAATCAAAACAAACATTGTGTAGTACTAGAATTTTGACTAGAATGGGATACGTTAATCGATTTGCTTGGGACCAATAGGCTAGTCAAGTAGTGAGCCAATACGCTTTGAACTGTCATAGGATTTTCCTGCGAGTTTTTGAAGTGATTGGATGATTTTAGCAGGCGTTGGCCAGATGGGAGGACCAAGCAGCTTGCTCGGGTCGATGAGGCGCTCATCTGGACTGCCCCACTTGAAGACCAATGTCAATAGGCTAACCAAAATTATCCAGGTCAGGATGGTGGATCTCAGTAATAACGATTTTGCCAACAAGATTCGCTCTCTCCCAGATTCTTTCACTTTCCTCTGTTGACCAGAACTCGGACCCATCCCTAATCATAACCGCAGTTGAAAAGGCCAATGCTCTTGACCAACATTTTGTGATTTCACATCATCTTAGCCAAACCATGGTGAGCCCCCATGAGCCTGCCGTACTGGAGGCAATGTCTAGAGTCGCTGACACCCCCGAAGTAGTGCATGATGATAGTAGAATATTGGATGATGAGATGATAGCAGCTATTGGACGCACTAAAAACATGAAGGCCGCGGGTATGGATGATGTAGTCAACCTCGAGTTGAAAAACTTGAGTATTGACTTATTCAACCATCTTACCGTTATCTTCAATAAATGTTTGGAGCTTGGCTACTTCCCTGCATGCTTGAAGTTAGCCAGTGATTCCAATACGCAAGCCTGGCAAAGATCCTACCAGTGCCAAAAGCTATCGCCCCATCAGCCTCTTGTCCTCCATATCGAAGCTATTCGAAAAGTTGATACTCAGCCGTCTGCTGGTGTTTTCAAATGATGATAACATTTTTCTCAAAGAGCAATTCTGGTTTAGGAAAGCCCACCAACTCGCATGGGTTACTAGCATCATCAAGCGGAACAAGCCCTTTTCCAATACATCTGCCATGGCATTGTTGGACGTCGAGAAGGCTTTCGACAATGTCTGGCATGATGGCCTAGTGTACAAGCTGCATCGATACAAGTTTCCGATCTACCTCGTGAAGATCATCAAAAACTACTTGTCGGGTAGATCATTCCAGGTCAACTTGAACAATGTCCCCTCTGATACGTTCGACGTTGATGCAGGGGTCCCCTCAGGGTAGCCTGCTTGGGCCTATCCTATTCAACATTTTCACGTTAAACGTTCCTCCCCTGCCGGGTGGTGGTATCCTGTCTATGTTCGCAGATGACACCTCCGACATCTATAAGGGTCGAGTGATCCGTCTTCTGACGAGTAAACTACAATGAGGCCTGGATGCTCTGTCCGACTATTTCAATAGCTGGAAAATTTGTATCAATGCAGCTAAAACACAAACCAATCTATTTCCACACTCGAATTCACCCCGGCTTGTTCCACCTCCTAACGTCAAAGTCCATCTTGATAGCACTCCCATTGAATGGTCGAGTGAAGTAGTCTACACAGTTCGAAAAAGTAGTGTAAATTTCTATTCAATATGATGCACATAAATGGAGCGTCATATATCATATAGGTTTACATTATATGTTATGTAAAGTTCTGAGACATTTCATGCAATGTAGCAAATATTGTATACAAAAACCCATCTTTGTAAACAACATTGCTTACAAGTTGCTCGGTTGCGTGAAATGAAATACAAGTTTACGTGAATGAATGTTTACATCACTATTAAAATCCAGAATTTTTATCTGTGTACCTTGGTTTCACCCTCTATAGCAAATTGCTATTCCGAGCCCATGTGGACAAGACATCCACCAAGTGTAACATCTTGATCAGGTCGCTCTACCCTCAGATTAAAACAAGTTTGCTGTCCCCAAACAGATCATTCTGCCAGCTATTGAGTATGGTATGCCAATCTGGGAGAGTTGTGCTAAGTTCCACCACCTGAAGCATCAGAGGATCCAAAACAGCCGGCACCGGTGGTGTAGTGGTAAGCGTGACTGCTTTCTAACACCCCAATGGGTCTGGGTTCAATCCCAGCCAAGGTCGGTGGGATTTTTCTGAGGCATAAAAATCTCTGGTCACGGAAGTAAAGCCGTTGGCCGGCCAATGTGTGTTGTGAATGGGTGCAATATCCTACGCAGGTGTGGAAGCTGCCTTCCTGCACATTCGGTTGCAATCGATGTCCGTCGGTGATTGGCACCAGATTGCGGAACAGAGACCGACGTTAAATAAAGGAAAAGAAGAAGAAGAAGAAGAAGAAGAAGAAGAGGATCCAAAACAAGATCCTCAGAATGATCCTTAACAGTCCACCACGAACTCGTAATTCTGAGATTCACCACCTGCTGGCCGAACACTCGAGGAGCGAAAGACGTCCACACTGGAAAGGTTCAGAGTCACCTGTCTGCGATCAAACCACCAGAACCTAGTTCAAGTAGTTAGGTAGGTTTCTGTGCTCAAGTAGGTAGGTTATCAATTTTTTTTAAATTCAAACGGAAACAAGTCCTTAAAAGGGTATCGTGTTAATTAGCGCTAAACGCAAT